AAGCCTGCTTTTGAGAGGAAATCCTGGAATTGCATTTTGGAGGGTGTCATTCATATTATTGATTATCAAGCTCATATTTCCTCAGTTGCAACTTGTTTTTGACATATAATATGACTTTTGGTATTTTTATTGAGCAGCATTTGGATGGATGGCTCAGGTTCCAGCTGGATGATGTTGCAAAAGGCATTGCCAAACAGTCACAAATAGTTGCCTCCCTGTGGCCAGATCTTCAAAAGGCATGCTATTCATTCTTTACACCTAAATTTAATGAAACATAAACATTCTGGTGCTCTACAAGTAGAATACAGCCTGATTTTTCATGTTTCACATTCATGGCGCCCTCACAAGTAGATGGATGTGACGTAGTAAACTTGGATGACACATTTGAAGCTTTAGACAAACAGATGCAAACTTCCCATTGAAAACAGCGGAAATACAACTGAAATTGAGCAAGGAGAGGAAGACAACATTACTCTGACAATGGTAATACATCTTAACATGATTGTTTTACAACTTTTACCTTGCACTTCCATCAGAAGTTGGCTAAAAGTTGCAGAGAAAGGAGTATTTTTTTTTCAAGATAAAAAACATATCATTCCAGGGACCAGCAATTTGTCATTGAAAACCTGCCAGCTATAGCCTACTAACACCTATAGCATATGTGAAACAATATTAGGACAGGCATTGTTAAGTTTTGAGTGAAATAACACACCTGAAAGTCTTGTTCCTATTTTTCAATTTTCAGGAGGGTTTAAAACATACAATTGTGTTGACATACCTTTCTCTGCTTGCCTAATACTCAGGGAATCAAATTCACACAATATCAGCTAAAGGTAGATACCAGTATGAAATTATTGAGGGCTGTATTCACTTTGATAATGAAGGATTTGTTGTGAGAGTCCTTGAATAGAGTGTATTTTGTCTGATATAAACTATACTGTGTTCACAAAAATCATCCAATGGCCAAGAAATTTACATAAATATCTTCAGAATGAAAACTTGAACAGATTCACAAATTTTCATAGAAATCAGAGGATTGTGT